CGAGGCGCTTGTGGCCCCTGACATAGACCGCGTGCTGTCCCTTGCCATCGAGCAGTCAAAGCGTGACGTCGACAGCACGTGCACCGTCCTCGGCATCTCACCAGGTGAGTCACACATATTCTCTGGCTTTTAGTCATCATTTTACATTTTAAAAATACTATACTCACGTCGGAAATATGTTAGCTGTCATATCGTGAATTAAGTATGTGACGTAAAGCAACTTTATAGCGATTCAATAGGTTGAACTCCGTACTATCAATGGGGCAATTATTACTCACGTCATTCTCATAGCAGGAAAAAATATTAACAGTTGTAATAATCTAAAACATCTTGTTAGAAAACTATACTAAAGAATTGAAAACTGTACTAAGTAGACTAAAGTTTTAATCGTAGTTTTTGACAGTGGATAAGCAATTAAAAAAAACGCTAAAACAGTTGTAAATATGTTTTCAATTATTTAAAAGTAACAGTATATTTACATTAAATATAGTTAGTTATAATTTACTAGCTGTGGCTTGCGATTTCGTCCGTGTGAAATTTAAAAAAAAATAACAAACAAAACCTATGTTACTAACTGATAACATAGCTTTTTCATGGTGAAAGAATTTTAGAAATCGGCCTAGTAGTTTTTGAGTTATTTCGATACATCCAAAAATACAAATCTTTCCTATTTATTAGATTAGTATCGATGAATTTGCAAAAATATTGTGAATGAAAATTTAATATCGTACTGGCCGCCAAGAAAACAATAGACAAAATTTGAATTAGAATAAAAAACAAAGAGCGCGATGTTAGCGGGAATAAGAGTGCAAAATTCAAAGCAAGCGACATAACGTTTTTATTTTATGTGTGTAGGTAATACGTGAATCTATAATTATTTGCGGGAACAATCATAATTTTTTCAACAATTAAATTATTTAATTTAACGATGGCAACATTATATGTGATACTTGCAATAAAAATAAAATAAATCGTAAACGATATGCTATTACTACCATAATCTCACGGTCATTGTATATTACTGTCGGAATGGAAACTGAATGAATTAACATGTACCGTTCTGTTCACTTCAATCGTTGAGAGGGCAATTACTAACGTAATTCATTTGCAAATACATTAAATCAAGTATTTCCAAGTACTAATAGCTCCTACTTATGTACATAACTATTTTAGATAATTCTCAGAACATATAAATGTTACGTAACCGCGTAAGTTATACAAATCTATATTTATAGATGATCGACGATAATTACTTATTAATATTTCACACCTCGCGTATTTTTATTTTTGCGTTGTTTTTTTAGTATACTATTACAATGTACAAAAACATTATGTTCTACACTCTGACGTCACTATACTCATTAAATACGTTACTGATAAGCTTATTGTTGTCTTTATAACGTTTCCACAGCACACATTTGACTATGTGTTACAACTACTAATATTATAAATGCGAAAGTTTAGTTGGATGAATCGATGTTTGTTAGAGTTTGCAGCCAAAACTGCTGAAGCGATATCGATGAAATTTGAAACAGATATAGAGGATATTCTGGATGATCATATAGGCTACTCACTTTTGTTTTTTTAACCTCACGCGGACGGAGCCACGGGCGAAAGCTAGTCTATACTATTATAATAAAGCGTAAACACACACTTTGTTGCCTAAGATGTCAGCAAGTACAGCATACTTTTGAATAACTCTTTTTTAATAAAAAGCCCTACATTTACGTCACGTTTTAGGCCATATATTTTCCTGCCATTAAGCTGAGTGGGTAAATATTTTGGATAAAAACCCTAATGTGGGAAAGATTGCTATCTACTTATGGTTAAGTAGCTGCCAACATCAAGGAAGCAAGATTGCTATAGTAAGGTAATTGGTATATTGACATTTGTAACTGAAAATTTGACAAATGCAAACAATAAATTTATAATTTCATGCGGATGGAGCCGCACGCGAACAGCTAGTATTATATATAGTAATAATAAATAGTCGGTTTTATGATAAAAATTGTCTTTTAATGATAGCTAAGTGAGTCATTACTGAAAGTAATCAATTATTTAATATTAAAACCAGGCATTAACAGATATTGTCTTTTAGATAAACATCATCGAAAACATATTACATTTTCCTTAAACTTAAGGAAAAGTACGAAAATGTACTAAGTGATAAAAATAATTGGATTACAGTACCATCAATATTGTCTTGATACGATAGACAATTTGACAAATGACTCATAACTGATTGCGATCAATTTTAATAAAGATTTTAATTATACTTGACAGTATCATTTCTGTAGATTTTATTGTCAAATACGTATATTTAGATAGCGGTAATTTAAACTTAGTAATCATTGCAATGTATCTTCACCCTTACTTTGAATCTATACTATCATAATAAAGCGTAAACACTCACTTTATTGCATAAGATGTCAGCAATTACAGCATGTTTTTGAATCATTCTTTCTTTAATAAAAAGCCCTACACTTACGTCATGCTTTAGGCTATATATTTTCACGCTATTAAATTTAGTTGGTAAATAAATTGGATAGAAACCCTAATGTGGGAAAGAGACCATAAGTTGCTGCCAATATCAAGGAAGCAAGGTTGTCGTCATGTCATGTCATTTTGACATTTGTAATTGATAATTTGACAAATGTAAACAATAAAATAAAATTTTCATAATTACATGCGGATGAAGTCGCACGGGAACAGCTAGTATAATATAACAGTGAAATTTAACCTTCGCTTAAATAAGGTATTGCTCTCCTTTCTGATCTTTCTTGTACCAATCTGCAATTATTTGTTTAAAATTTCGTGTCACATCAATTTTATTACGACAAAATCAAACCATATAATTACGACAGCACAACTTTTACACATTAAATAACATCCTGTATATTTGGTTGTTCCTAAAACTACATGTAAATTTTATTTTTATGTTCGTAATACATTTACTAACACTCTGTATCTCTTATAGACCCGCTGCAGTGGAGCGCAGACGACGTACAGTCGTGGGTGATGTTCACGTTGCAACACTTCCGCCTGGCCCCTGTACCTGCAGAATACTTCGCTATGGATGGCACTGCGCTCGTCGCACTCACTGAAGAAGAATTCAATCGCAGAGCGCCACAAGTAAGTTTAAAATTTAACTTCCAGGAATTAATGAAAACAAAAGACTGTAATAAAATTAAACAAAAACCATTACAATGTTTTCCTTCGATTTAATAATTATGTTAAATATATTTAAAAATAGCTGTTGCTCGTGACTTTGTCCGCGTTAAATTAATAAATATAGCCTATGTTACTGACTGATAGTGTAGCTTTCTAATGGTAAAAGATTTTTGTAATCGGCCCAGTAAATTTTGAGTTATTTCAATACATACACAGATACAAATCTTTCCTCGTTATAATATTAGTGTAGGTGACATCTACGTGTTTTGAATAATTGTATTGTTGTGAACAATACAAGATGAATATAAACGTCATCAGAGGCGAGTTTATTGTTCTAATCGTTTGACCCCGGGGCATATTGAGGGTAAACATTATCAAAGTGCAGCTTGTCAACGGACTGATAAGACCGCGCAAACATTGTATTGTATAGTCGAAAACAGTTATTCTGTATCCATTTCAAATTGTCATTTGGTTCTTACAACGTGATTAGGACGATTAACCTATACTATTATAATAAAGCGTAAACACACACTTCTTTGTTGCCTAAGATGTCAGCAATTACAGCATATTTTAAATTAATCTTTTTTTGATAAAAAAAAGCCCTGCACTAACAACGCGCTTTAGGCTATATATTTTCACGCCATTTTAACTTAGGGGGTTAATATTTTGGATAAAAAACCTAATGTGGGAAAGAGACCATAAGTTGCTGCCAACATCAAGAAAGTAAGATTGCCATGGTTTGTCATGTCATGTCAGTTTGACATTTGCTATTGATAATTTGACAAATTTAAACAATAAAATAAAATTTTCCTATTTCATACGGATGAAGCCGCACGGGAACAGCTAGTATTTGCTAAATTACGATGACAGTCTATACGATATTCGATTGTATGTAAAGTGGAAATTGCTTTCTGTACAATGAAAACTACAAGAGAAATCAGTGAGCACGTATCGAATAATTGTGATATTTCATATCTATAGGGAGCAAAGATCATTGACATTACGATATGTATGGAATGTAATAAACTAAATCACGTGACCCAGAACAAAATAAAAATCGAATAGACATGGTTATACATAGAATTTCAAGTTGTTTTTTTTTTAATTTAATTAACAAATTACTTAAGCTAAGTTCTTTGTTTAAGGTGGGTTTCCACTAGCATTAAAATTATCCTCTGTCTTATTCACAGAGTTAACAAGTTATTTATGTTCTTATGTTCTGGCAGTGTAAACGGTTACATCATGCGACATGTTGCAACACAAAACATAAAAAACACAAAGACTAAATAACAATGAACGCTATTAAATAACAAGTAAAGTAAACAATGAAAAAGTAAAAGTTATGTTAGCCTGAAAAAACAAACAATGCAATATTGTCTAAGTAATTAGTTACTTAATCACAATAATTGTTTTCTATTTAAGTTATTGCTAATTTATGTTTTTTGGAGACTAACAAACTATTTTAAATTTAATTTGTTAGCTGCAAAAATATTAGAAAGACATCAGGAAACATTACATTACATATTTTAGAACAAGATTAAGTTACCTAGTTCCGTCAAGTTAGATTAGCGTAACGAAGTTGCTACGCAAGGAAATCCGTTAAGGAAAACCTGGTGTTATGAAATACATTAGGTAACTTATGCAGGGCTGCATTTAGATACAATCGAAACACTTTTATCATACTTAAATATTAAACGGTCAAGTATTAAAGTCAAAGAAGTCTTTTATTAGACACCAGCTGTTGCTGGCGACTTCTCCATGAAATTAAAAATAATAACTAAAAAACATAGGCTTAATTACTCAGTTATAACGTAGCTTTTTAATGGTGAAAGAAATTTAAAATTAACCCAGTAGTTTTTGAGTTTTTTCAATTTTATAATAATAGTCGATCAATTAAATTTGTCCTTCTATTGTTTCTTTCTGGGATTATTGTTATTGTGTTTCAATCGATTGCGCATGGCTATCGTCGCACGCGCCACCGCCTCGACTTTCACCCGCCGATGAAAGTCCATAGCCACAAGCTCGCACTTGCTTGCATACAAAACGAACTATCTTGTCCATTTCAAACAATACGATACAAGATAAAAATCCTTTATTTGGTTTAAAGGTTTCATCAACTCATATTGATTTCAAAACCTTGTTGAATTGATATAATATATCTTTCTCAAGAATATCGCAATTAATTCAATAATTCGTTGTATTAGGCTGGGAGCACACTGTACGCACAACTGGAGATCTGGAAGGCAGCGAGACACGAGAGCTGGAGACCAGCGCCATGGTCAGAACAAGAACGAACATCGCCGAAACCCGTCCCAGCTGGTCTGCCCTCGGCTGACGATATGAGTGATGGTAAGCAATTTAAACATATTAATCACTAGCTTTCGCCCGCGACTCCGTTCGCGTGGAATAAAAAACAAAAGTGTAAAAGTAGCCTATGTGTTGTTCCAGACTATCTACGTCTATGTCAAATTTCATCGAAATCCGTGCAGCAATTTAGGCTACAAACTATAACAAACATCCATCCTTCCAAACTTTTGCATTTATAATATTAGTATGAATAATTTATTTATTGCTCTTTAACAGATATTTCAATATGAATAATTAGAAAAAAGTTTTTCATACGTTAAGACAAGTAATTTATTTTACTATTGAATACGTGGTATAAAACTTTACTTGTTTAGCATTTGATTAAAAATTGTTACTTTTACATAAAATGTATTGGAATATTGTCTTGCGAGTTTCATTATTAGAGATATTATCGATTAGTAGATAACATAATGTTTTACGATAAAAAGTATTATAAATTTATGTATTAGAATTAAGGACAACAAATTATTTTATCAATATATATCTAACGTTATTTACTAAAGATAATCCAATCGTAATAATTCCATATTTAAATCTGGTATCAAAATATCTATCTGCGTAAATAGTTGAAAATAATAATTCACTAACGCCATATAAGGTATTTGAAATCCATGAAAGTGAGGTTTTTATTTTGTTTTATATTGATACGGTATCTATCTATACTATACTATTATAATAAAGTGTAAACACACACTTCTTTGTTGCCTAAGATGTCAGCAATTATAGCATATTATTGGATGATTATTTTTTTAAATAAAAAGCCCTACACTAACGTCATACTTTAGGCAAGATATTTTCACGCCATTAAACTTAGGGGGTAAATTTTGGATAAAAAACTTAATATGAGAAAGAGACCATAAGTTGCCAACATCAAGGAAGCAAGGTCATGTCATTTTGACATTTGTAATTGATAATTTGACAAATGTAAACAATAAAATAAAATTTTCATAATTCTATGTGGATGAAGTCGCATGGGAACAGCTAGTCATTAATAAAGATCGACATTTTTGTAAGTCAATAAATTTTATTATACAACTTTGAGACATTGGTAAATCAAGCTAATTTATTAGAACGATGAATCGCAAACGTGTGTTGAGATACGGAATCTAAAATACTTATTTCTTAATTGGACTTAAATAACTGATTACTAATGAATTCGGATATATATATCTTTCTAACGATAATTATGTTAGTATTTAATGATCATTTTATTCTTAACTAGCTGTTCCCGCGCGGCTTCATCGTTATAAAGACTTTATTCTTTTGGTTCTATTTTTAAAGTTCTCAATTGCAAATGTCAAAATTACCGTTACCAAATAACCTTGCTTCCTTAATGTTGGCAGCTTGTAGTTTATAGTCCCTCTCCCATATAAAGGTTTTTTTTTTCAATTTGTTTACCCGCTAAGTTTAATAGCGTGAAACAAATAGTGTAAAGGGTGTCGCAAGTGTAGGGCATTTTATGATAAAAAGAGTTATTCAAAAATCTGCTGTAATTGCTGATATCCTACGGCACCAAGTAGTGTGTGTTTACACTTTATTATATTGGTAGAAATATAGATTAAAAATATTAAGCAACATGCAATAAACTTGAGACTGGAACGAATTATCCAAAGTTTGTAAAATAATGAATAAATTATCATTTCAATCGATATTTTTTGCAAGAAGCTTCAAATGTTATAGATTCCATCATATCCAATATAAATGTGCCTTGTTAGTAAAACGATAGTAAAAAGTCGTCGAACGGTCTGCGTGGACCGATGTGGCACATCAATGCATCAGCCTCATGCATTTTGTGATCAACCGTTAGCCGCGGACCCACATACGTACAGACAAACAACCTAATGATAAATGTCCAACTGTATAGGTACCAGTTAACTTCGTACTTTACGAGGGAATTGAAAATAAAGACAGAATGGTTACGGCGTTCATTTCAAATGAAAGACATAGTATGATTGGTTTTATAGAATGTGTTATGAAACCGAATGTTAAGTTGTTTTTATTTTTTATATTGTCTCGGATGACTTTTCAAGCGACCAACTCTATACTTCTATACTATTATAATAAAGCGTAAACACACACTTCTTTGTTGCCTAAGATGTCAGTAATTACATCATATTTTCGGATAATTCTTATTTTTAATAAAAAAAACCCTACACTTACGTCACGCTTTAGGCTATAAATTTTCACGCTATTAAAATTAGGGGGTAAATATTTTGGATAAAACCCTATTGTGGAAAAGAGACCATAAGTTGCAGCCCACATCAAGGAAGCAAGATTGTCAAGGTTTGTCATGTCATGTCATTTTGACATTTGCTCTTGATAATTTGACAAATGTGAATAATAAAATTAAATTTTCATAACTTCATGCGGATGTGAACAGCTAGTATGTATTAAATTTAAAAATAGGACACTTGTGTCCTTTAAGTTATCGTACCATTTTTGAAAAGGTGGGCAACGCATTTGCAATTCATGTAGTATTGTTGATGACTATGGGGGTCGTTGTTCACCTCTAAGTATGTCTCCCCTTTTTAAAAAATTACAATCCTCTACATTACAAAGGGCTAATCCTGAAAATCGTCTAGATATATTAAGAATCGAGATGGCTAGTTTATAAAAAAGTGCTGGATAGTAGCACAGGAAACAGCTATTGGCAATTATCTCTGTCAGCATTCCGCGGCTGTTGCGTAGATGGAGAGATTTATACTGACGTCCAGTCGGATAATAATGAGATAGAACTAAACAAGAAAGATTCTTGATAAAATGCAGCTAGTACAATTAAAGCAATGGAAAGTTAAAACTGATCGAAAAATATCAAATTATAAATAACACGAGGTATGTTTCATATTGTTATCTTTTTAATCAGTTTAGATTGAATAACTGATAATGTTTAATTAGCTTTATTATTATTTGAACTGGTAAAAACAAAAGATAGTCTGGTTGTTCTGTATTTAAATAGACTCGGCGTTTTTAAATTTAAATCTCGATTCATTTGTTTCTTGATTTATTTTTTTTACTTATTTTTTAGAATTTTGCCAGTTCTTTAATGTAATAAAATAAATAATTGATTTCGTTTTCAACAAAATTGCCTGTAAATAAAACTTAAAATTAGAATTGTAGAATGATGCATTTATGGTCTAATGTTAGCTCTTCGCAGTAACGCTATGTCCCGTTATTTAATCCATCAAGCCTTAACCATAGAAGTTCTATCGATCCATTCACTGCTTTAGTTTGAAAAGATAAGTCCAGTTTTTGCGCCGTTCCCGGTGACATAGATGTGAACTGGTATACGCAAGGTCACTATGTGTTCGAGATTGATTGGTAACTACCATCTTTGTAAAAAGTCATCCGTACATCCATACACATTATTGATTGTTCTAGAATTTATCGTAGTTATGTTTGGGTTAGTGTTACTTGATGTTTTTATTATTTTACACAAGTATCAATGCTGGATATACTTGAAATACTTTATAAATAATTGATCAATTGAAAATGTAGAAAACATTCGTGTAATTGTACATTTGTTAGTTACACTTTTGACTAATTAAAACACGCAGTTTCATTCAGTATTATAAGAATAAATTTATAAACATAAATAAATCTCTCAAATTTATATCATCGTAAGCTCTTATTTTATATTATTTTATTTCTGTGCAACGTGTAAACTTTGTGGTGTTAAAATAACTGTACGAAATGTTTGCCACATTAAAGCTTCTCTAAATAGAACTGGAGGCAATAAAGAGAAGAGTTTCGTTTACTGTAAACGTTTTACTATCTTTCAGTGGGTTTGCAGTAAAGGTCAATAGGTTTTAAATAAACAGAAACGTACGTTAACATCGAAGTTCTCAAATAAAACGGTATTTGAGTTTATCCTATTCGGAGAGATGTTGCGAAAGGCCTTGTGAAGGAGATTTTAAAAAGCATATTCATTTTTTTTGCATAAAACAATTTAAACGACATTGTATGAGTACTAGGATTATATAGATCTTCTCTAGCTTACTATACGCATTCAAGGGCTTGGAGACAACCCTTGGGGTGACTAGATCATAGTCAACTACTGAAATTCCTCGCCGATATATGCAGGTTGCATAACGCTGCTTTTCTTCGCCGTGTTATATTGGTATTTAATAATTATTGTTTTGACAGATGAAGACTCAGAGTCAGTGAGCGTGAGTACACCGGGTGCAGGGTCGGGGAGCGCAGGGGGCAAGGCGAAATCGGGCAGCACGCACATTCATCTCTGGCAGTTCCTTAAGGAGCTACTAGCCTCGCCGCAAGTGCACGGCTCAGCGATACGATGGTTGGATCGAAGTAAGTTGAACTGATCACTTTAATCAAATAAAAAACGTTAAATTTATCTCAAATATATCTTTATCACATGTTATAAAAAGAATTAAGAAATCCTTATCTAGTATTAAGTTGCCATAGCAACATATTACTTGTTTCGGTGTATACGGCAAATATTGATTATAAAACACTAGCTGCTGCTCGCGACTTCGTCCATTAATTAAAAAAATAATGAAAAACATAGGCTATGTTTAAAATTGAAGATATATGAATTATAATATATTTAAAGTGATAAGAACATAATTTAGTTAATACAATAAATGATGAATCGATCATATTCAGTGTCAATTCATTATTAATCAGCTTAATAATTGTTATCAAATCATACTGATTTAACAACAAACATGTCAAATTAGTTCTTATATAGACAAATTAAATTAATGTATCTCTAACATCAAAATATAATGTTTACATTTCGTACACGTGATATAATACTTATTGGATAAGCCCATTAATAGCTGCACAGATTTTATTAGAACCAGATTTTTGCATATAGAAGTAACTAGCTTTCGCCCGTGACTCCGTCCGCGTGGTACTAAAAAAGTAAGTAGCCTATCTGTTCTTCCAGACTATGCTCTACATCTGGGCCAAATTTCATCCAGATCCGTTCAGCCGTTCAGACTACAAACATCCATCCATCTTAACTTTCGCATTTATAATAATAGTATGATAATAGGTTTTTTAATTCCGTTCTGACGAATTTGAAGGCAAATTAGCCTTCGTAAAAGCGACAACTGTGAATCCAGTAATTAAACATACATTATGTAATACAACATATCTTAACTTTGAGTCTAGAATGTTTGTACGACATAATTTAAATAAAATAAATCCAATAATAGTAGCTGGATTATTTATAACTATTTAATAGTCCACGACAACTACGTCGCATACAAATGAGCACATCAACAGTTTGTTTTAGCATTTTATCTAACTTGGCAACAACGAACGGAACGTGAAGTAATTATAAAAACATCACTGTGGGTTTCGATTGTCATGATATTTTTATTGACAGCTATTGTTGTCTCTGTCTTTACAAAGACAATGAAAGGAATAACGATGTTTATTAATACAAATATAACTGCAATTGAATCCGATGTGTTTTACTTTAATTGGAATAATTATAATGCTTTTTTTTAATTTATTTCAAGTTCTAATTTGATAAAATTTTAACTGTTTGTTGACCTGTATTTGATTTTGTGTATACGAAATACGAAAATACGATCTAGTTAATTAGTACAACAATGTATCGGTAAAACAAGTCGTAAAGTTAACGTAAACAATTATGAATGCAATGAATTAAATTATAAATACATAGTTAAGTTTTCATTGATTATGTGCATTCAGTTATGGTTAATATATTATGTAGTGTACAATCGATTGTTAGTGGGAATTTCATAACAACATTCTAGTACCAAGGTGAGCAAGACATTTACTCGCCATCTGTTAGGTACGATGTGGTGTGGCGCTGCAAAGGTTAACACAACTTCGTGACTTGCCACTACCAATGGTACGTTACGATTTATACGTTGTTTAATTCACCATTTAACTATAAACGTTTTTGCCCCCTTCGTCTGTCGATCGCGTTTTAATTTTTAAATGCTCCGATAATTTGAACTGAAATTCGTTCCGTCGTAGTTTCCGAAAAGATTTCTGAGAAAATCTATAACGCCGTTCAGACTATCGTGTTAAGAATCGTACCACCGTATCGAATCCTAAACGCTCGCGAAGGTCATTTATTTTTGTACTTTTCAATTTATATCTCAAAGATGTCGAAATAGTAGACGTTTGAATTAATCTTTATTCTGTTCAAACGCTACAATACAAGAAATCCCGTAACTAAATTTTTATTTGTCTTAAAGTTGTATTATAAAATATAAAAGCGTTCTCAAATTTCGGTTTCTAATAAATCTACAAGTGTAGCAACACCACGTTCACTGCTCTACCAAAAGTTATCGTCTTATTTGCATCGAACTTCTATTTAACGATGTTTAATGTATGTCTCGTTGTTCAGGTAACGGGGTCTTTAAAATTGAAGATTCAGTCCGTGTCGCGAGACTGTGGGGCAAGCGAAAGAACAGGCCGGCGATGAACTACGATAAACTGTCGAGAAGCATACGACAGTATTACAAGAAAGGAATCATGAAGAAAACCGAGAGGAGTCAAAGGCTCGTCTATCAGTTTTGTCATCCGTACTGCCTGTAACTATTTACAGTGTTGTTTAGATTTAAGTTTAATTGTAAATATTTATTGTAAATAAGTGAATGCGAGAGCCGCGGTAATGCGGACGGTACGAGGGCTGGTTGCGATTTGCGAAGTTAACGCAAAACGTGGCATAGCCTTAGAGTTAGTCGATCGGCCGCCGAAGCCCAGTAAGGGCAGTACGCCTGGGGACGTTCGCGCGGACCGATTGTTGCCCCTCCATACAATTCGGGAAAGGTAATTTTCTCTGGAATTCTATTGGACGGGGTAATTCGATTGTCTTAGTTTTAAGTTCTTTTTACCGGCGATTAGATGACGATTGTCGATTTTTTAAACGATTGTAAGTTTAATTACAATTGCGATTGTCTATCGAAAGCTGGTAATGTTTATCCCATATATCTATGATATATTTCTAGTACGTTCTATGAACATGTAGTTAAGTGTAGTCGTAAATACTTTGAAACGATTTGTTGAATAATTCAAGACTCGTTTGTTAGTATTTACTTTAGATTTAATTTTATTTGTAATTATTTAAAGTAGATTTAAATCTTCGTATATATGAACGTATTGTCGACATTTCGTTGATGTGCTGATGTGTGAAAGATAACTGTATGAACTGTGATTTACGATTAGTTTTAATGTTTACTGATATTATTATTATTAAGAGTGATATTGTTCACAAATAAGGGACACTTGCAATGTACGTGTAGTTTTTCTATGACTTTCATCGGTCAATGATTCTCGAATCGGCTGCTAAAAATTTTGTGCCAAATAGACATTGAGAAATTCAAATTTATTGGGGACAAAATTTTGCTAAGAGTAATAAAAGACCGATGTAATTATGTAAATTGTAAATAAAAAATACTCTATGTTTAAAACAAAAATGTGGTGTTGGCTTAATTGGGTTTTAGACTAAGTTAGTTTAAGTATCGACGCAGTTAGCGTTTGTAGCAATAAAGTTAATTATTGGACCAAACTAATGTAGAGTATATGAATCTATGTAACACCATAATGATATTAAATGGCCATTTAAAGGAAATTTGTGTTTTTTTTTCTTAAGAAAAGCAGCAGGACTCCACTTGTAATGTTATTATGGACGCTGAAAATACTCAAAATATAACTAAAGGATAGATCCTTTTTAATTTAATTCACAAAATATTAATAATATCCTTAATATACCCTAATAATATAAATAAATCATAATAATGAAGTTAAATGTAGAGTAAAAAAAAACTGAAACAGACAATTATTCATTTTTCCAAATAAATGATATTCAATTTAAACTTTTAATAATAGTCTATTAACACAGATTATTAATACCAAAAGCTGATTAAAAAAAATAAATTTATTGCAGTTTCGTCTTGAGAACAAACTACATGGTTTTTACTAATTTTATTCGGATCACGATGAATGTCAAACTCAAATCGGTGAAAACCAGTTGTGTTTTAGAATAAAACGACAACCTTTGCATTTTTATAACTACTTCGGAAACATACTGAATAGTTAAGAATTTAAGACAACAATTTAGATAAGTTAATTCGTAATAGATTGTTTGAAAAATGAAAGATCACAGTTAAACAATCAGGATACTGTTTACTTTGTGGTAAGTTTCTGAAGTGGAAGATAATGGAAGTGAATTAAAAATCCCTTTTCGTCCTTTACATGGGAAGGATTATAATTATAATTGCCCATTGCATCACGTTGCGTAAATTTGACGTCAACAAACACCCACTGACGAAATTCTTTCAGTGAAAGTGCCGGCCTTTCGCTACCACTGGAGGGGAGAACGACCTCGGGTAGGGGGAGGGAGGAATGCCGCCAATTGTGTAAGATGACACTTGATAATCCACTCCTATTGACGTTTAAGTTTGCATTATAACAATGCGAAGACAAAATTATATCTTAATTATTAAACACTTAATTAACATATAAATTAAGCTAAAACCATACTAATATTACAAATACGAAAGTTATGAAGGATGTTTGTTACAGTTTACTACTCACTTTTTCTTTAATTCCACGCAGACGGAGCCGGGGGCAAAAGTTAGTTAATCTATAAAACGACTGTAAAATAAACAAAGATAAAATTAATTTGACAAACCTCAGTCTTAAAACCTATACCAACATAATGAATTAGGCAATAAAATTTACTAGTGAAATGTTGACAAGTATGCCTAGTTGCTATTAGGTTGGTAATTTAGTTTAGCACCGATAATTTTGGTAACTAAAATAATCTCATCTGTATGATTTGCTAATAGCTTGCTTTTTTAATGTTCAGATACATTTAGTTACTAGATTACTCGGTGCTCGACTAAATTACTGCGAATTTTGAGGTTATAATATTGTCAGATATTTACCTGACGTAACTTTACCTGATTATTCATTTTTGGTCCTTATGTGTGTAAGAATTTCACCTCTGTATAATAAAAATGATGCCAAGGTCTTGCAGATGATGAGTAAACCGTGATTCATTTTTCTGTTCTTGTTTAAATACTTTTAAATTGAAATCAAAAATAGCACATGGTAATAAGGCTTACAGCCAGATACACGCTTATTTTTTTAAACCTGCGTTAAGGGACTCTTGAATATGACAGTTAATGAGATTGTCTACTATTTATTGTATTTACTAGCATTAGCGTGCGATTTCGACCGCGTATAATTAAAAAAAAAACAAAAGGGAGTGGCCTATAGGTTGTTCCAGACAATTCTTTACCTCTATGCCAAATTTCAACGAGATGCGTTTAAAGGTTTAGGTTACAAACTCTAACAAACATCCATCCATCTAAACTTTCGCATTTATAATATTACTATGACTTCATAGTCATATTAGCAGTTTTACATCAATATCTTTATTTTTTATCTTATTGTCCTTCAAATTTCTTATTTTTTAATCGTAACTATGAACTTTAGCCTCTCGGTTTTTTTTAGTAAAATACGAGATGTGTCACAGGAAAAAGTTTTAGGGAAGGCCAGAATTAAGGTTTACAATAAGTCCCGCGAACTGTCGATTGTCGCTTTGTGGTTAACTTAACCGTGAAATTAAATTAACTGGTAGCAAAAAAAGTCCAGCATATAAGTTCTTAAAAGAAAAAAAAATACTTTTTTACCAAGAAGGCAGACAAACTTTTTTTTTTTTAAATACTGCACTTATGTTTTGCATTGGTGTTTTGTCTTAAAAATATTTAGGGTGAGTTGCATCATATCGCCGGTTATCGTTATTGTTAAAATTAATTTTAACGGTAACATTTACAGTAACCTTAACATTAACTTTCTAACGTTGCACCGTGACATCTATTGTAAAAGTTATAGTAAATAGGGTTACAAGTGATAAAACACATTATCTCCCAAATATTTACATAAGTAATATTTTTTACACTGACATCATTTAAATTTAAATGTCAGGAAAGTGTCTTAAAGTCCGTTGTCATTACATAATTTGGAAATCAATTCGACGGTTGGTTACAATCGACGGTTATTATAAAATAAGATGGCAAGCACGAGCAAAACTTTTAGTTTTTTAGTTTTTAGTAGAACTCCACGAATAAAAACTAAGGCATAACGAAGAAAAACATCACTTAGAACTGATTAAATTAAATTTAGAAATAGATATCTTAAAATCAAAAATAAATAATTAGTCTTTATTAAAATAGGTTTTTATTTATGTCTGAACTAGTCTACGAAAATAGTTATTAATTAATATATTTCTGTTACATTCATCATTACCCGAGACTGATGGACTATTTCGTCTATTTTTCGTCTTCATCTGTGACAGCCTCTTCTTCATGCTGTGAAAATGGCATAGGGCCACTGACTTTTCTGCAGATGTTATGTAGCACAGCCATTGCAACAATGATTGCTTGAGCTTTTACTGGGTTAGTCCTGAGTTCCCAAGATAAAGAAGGGAACCTTTTTTTCCAACAGCCAAAAGAACGTTCAATAACATTTCGCGTACGAATATGACTTTCGTTGTAAAGGCGTTCAGCCTCGGTGGTAGGATTGCGTAAAGATGTGAGAAGATATGGTTTTACACCATAGCCTTTGTCGCCCAGCAACCAGAAATCATCATCAGAAAGTCATGACAGCTGCCTGGCCAACGTGCCACTATGTTATAATAAATACATAGCTGAATTACATATTACTTGAACATTAAGGGAAAAAACTGTTTTCTATTTCTGTAGACTTCAGCATCATTTCCACCTGGAGATTCTATTGCTATATGGGTACAGTCACCTATTGTTTTTGGAAACGCACAGATTTCATAAAATTTTCTGGCCCCATATTCCATAGCTTGCCTATTTTGAGGCATAGATATCCACTCAGAACGAAGTCCAGCAATTGCTCTGCTTACACGATGTATTGATCGACACACACTGGATTTATGCACACCTGGTGACGCTGCACCAATACAACGTTGGAAAGATCCACATGCATAGTACTCGAGAGTCATCAGTACTTGCTGTTCTGGTGTTATAGCTTTGTTCCTGTTAAGAATAATACACAAGTAAGAAAAGTTTCCTGGAAGAGATTGATGTATGCATGTTTTTTTCATTTACAATTGCTATCTATTTTCCTTTTATCATCATACTAATGTTAGATAGTTAACTATTTTGATATATTCTGTACTCAAAAGTTTTAATTTCTGCGTGGACGAAATTGCTGACAAAAGCTAGTATATGGTACAGTATAGTAGTAGCAGTAGTATATATATCCATCTACTCACTTCATTGTCTTTGTTTGAAGTAATGGTCTTATTGAAGAAACCAGCGCTTTTACCACAAGTTTAGATACACGAAACCTGTCCAAGAATTCTTTGTCATCCCAATTTTGAAATTTATCAACACGACGACGGACAACTTCTCTCTTTCTTCTATACTCAAAATTATCTTCGTTATCTTCACTTGAAGAACTTGATTCCCATATATTGAGCGTAGTACGGACATTATAGTAGCGAGTATTTCTTTTTCTATTTTTTTGTAGATATGTATTTATAATATTATTTTATATAGGTAAGAACTTGCGACAGCTGACATTACCCTACACACTGACATTTGTTAACTATAACACTAACCGTAACCGGCCAAAATTGGGCGGTCAAAATTACCGTTAAATATGACGTCATTTTAATCAACGTAAAAATGGTGCAACGAAAATCAAGCGCAACCGTAGATTTAACCGTCGTAAAGACCATGGTTACGGTTACGGTTAGTTGATGCAACTCACCCTTAGTTGCTTAACAATTACTGTTTTTTAATCTATGAAATTAAAATGTAAATAATTATCACGCTTCATACTCATAAGATATAGATCTAAAGCAACTATATTGTTATTATGCTCGTGACGATATCAAATGTTATGAATAATTTCCCATTTTGCTTCAAGCTTAAACTAAATTTTGTGCGCGGCCCAAGTTGCAAATGTTGCGTTACACTTGACAACATCGACTTGTTTTATAATATAAAAAATATATTCATGACAATATTATATTTGTTACGAAACATTTGTAAATTACGAAAAAATGACAGTCTTACAAAACAAAATAAAACGAAAATATTATTTGGACATCAAAATATTTCTTATAATTTTTTTTTTATTAAGGTAGATAAAAATTTATTCAGCCTATTAGTTCTTGTGGTTTTTCGGTCATAAATAATCTAGCACGATTTCCGCTATTTTCTTACTGCTTGGGACACAACAAGGCGTTGCCTAAAGGTCGGCTACATTCCAAAATTGTGAGTCCAGTCCAGTCTCCAGCTGGTACGAACGGCGCGGCGTCCATACCTAACTTAGAAATTATTACTTGCGTCGCCGTTTGTTGTTATTAGATACCTTTGTTCTATAGTTTATTGCATCAAATGCTATTCCGTGGAAATATAATTCGGTTTCTTATATGAAACATAGATAGGGTTAATTTGAGTAACGTCTATTAGTTAATACAATTTTAATGGATACTTATAAAAATATTTTTTAGTCGATGCCCAGCTCGTCTTTTTAATTTATAAAGTAAATTCTATTTAAAATATACACAAACATACCCTTTCAACCTTAACCTTATCTTACAAACCTTCATGATGTCCATTACGATAAGCTAAAGTAATCTAGAAAAGCTGATAACTGACTGCAGCTTGCTGATTTCGAAGAACAATGTGAACAAAAATCCTTAAACAATGTGTTAGGTACTACTTTTCTTCAGCAATTAAAGTAATTTATCATTAAATACGTATTTTTAAAACGTTTAAAGGTGAAATAAACAAATAATGAAATCTCAACATTATTTTGTGAGATGTTTAAAACTTGTGAAATTGCGTGAAATGGAGCGAGTAGCATATTCGGGTATGACGTCAATGTGACGTCATTCCGTTGACATCTGACATTTTAGCGCCTTGTTAATAGTGCATTTAAAATGTTTTTTAAAGTCATTACTTCGTACAAAAGGGCACAAAACATACAGTGATGCATAAAACATGCATTATATTTCTTGAGAGTTTATTGTAGCATATTTAATCAAGAGAAAAAGTTTAATAGTCTTGCATTTAATTGTGTTAAGGTCTATAATTATAATATTTAAAGAATGATTAAGGCAGGTAAGAGTGTGGAAGTTAAGGAAGAAATTGCCGAGGTGCATACGGCTGCTCGGTCGCCATCACCTAAATGTAAAAGCTCTGAGAAACGTAGAAGTAGATCAGCATCACGCAAACTTTCCAACGGCCATGTTTCAAACACTGAACCAGTAGATACGCCAACTACAGTTGAAGAAAAGCCAGAGACATCGGCAGAGAAAACTAAAACAAAAGACAACTGGATAAATTCAGAACAAGAGTCTCTGGATGTTGAAATTCCAATTCATGACCAAATAAAAATGGGTATATTAGGATTTGTGGAGAAAGAAATAAAGAAATCTGATAAGAATCCATCATTTGTATTTTATTCACATGACCCAAATGGCTTGGAGGAGAAATTCATGAAGAATTTGTCAAGACCTTCTAGTGGGCATAAGGAAAAGCGAAGTCCATCTTATAGGAAAAAGAAGAGACATTCATCTCGACACAGAGACAGGGAGCTTCATGACTTCGATGTCCCTGGGTCTAGTCTTAGTGCTTTAGAAAAGGTACATTTTTATTGTTAAAGTTAATTTACTGCAAACACATGAAAATATAAAACTTTTTACTAATTGTAATATTGAACTATATTTCTTTAGACACTTTCAAGTGTGGCAATTTTTTTTTACTTTATATTTAATTTTCTAACATAATTTTATTTCAGGTTGATGATTACTTAAAAGAGTACAACAAAGATGAAGTGGTGACCCTCAGTGGTGAGTTGGAAATTGAACCCAATGATACAGAAAACAATGGAACTTCCAGAGAAATAAGACACAAGCCGAGAAAGACTCGGCGAAAAACAAGAGAGGAGCGCACAGAGAGTGATGCTGTTAGTAAGGAAGTTAGCCCTAAAGTTTTTAAAACTGGCACTAAAAGTAAAAATGGAACAAAACCAGGTAAGAAAGTAAACATTAGTCAATCCACTGCTTATGTGCCCCCTTCTAACTTAAACATAAAAAGCAATAGTTAAATAACAACATACTGTGAAGTAATTCAAACTATTGGTTACTAGCTGTTGCTCGCGACTTCACCTGTGTGAAATTAAAAAATATAGCCTATGTTACTCATAGATAAATTACCATTCTAACGATGAAAGAATATTTTAAAACTGGCCCAGTAGTTTTTGAGTTATTTTAATAAATGCAAAAAACAAATCTTTCCTCTTTATAATATTAGAATAGACAGGCTTACTTATATGGCAAATAAAAATACAATTAAAAAATACATGATTTTTTTACATTTCTAATTACAGTGAGGCCAACCGACTTATCAACAATGCTGGAGAGATTAGAATCAAATGTTCCATATAATGATCAGTACATTGACAATCCATTTTCATCACCATCACCTCTTACATCACCAAATGATGAACGACTTGATCCATTCACTCGGAGAACAGAAAAGATATATCTTCAAGGTGGTGGGACATTTAGAGCTGTATCCAGAGATAGAATACTAGAAGAACAGCAAACTAGAGATGATGATAAATATTTAAGGTAATTATTATGAGTAGTAATAAATTTAAATTACTAAAGTTATTATTCTTATTGTTAATTCAAGAATAATAATGTCAGACTTATTTTAAATTTAATCAATAAGTTAGAGATATAAGAATTTTCATCGTGATAATTTGAATGTAATGGTGCAAATTATTGATACTTTTTGAATGATTAAAGTTACTGGCCACCAATAATTTTGAATACTGGCTGAATGTGCATTGTATAATAGATGTCAAGGCGACGATCAAATGACTGATGACAGTTGTCATTGAATGAAAAATGTGCTTTGTTAATTACAAAATTAATTGGTTAATCTCTGTAAATGTTTGCAATCCTAAAAGATTTTGTCGTGCACTTTTCATTGAAGATGGTGATTCTAATGTTACGCGATTGTTGTTTCATTATTTCCGACATATGCACGCCCACAATGGAGGATCGTTACCGTTTATGTGATCTTCCTTTCGAATGAATTCTGCAAACCACTCGTCCGACTAATATATTAATATGTTAGTAATTTCATAACAAAAAGTGAATTGTAAAATTAATTTTAAGACTGACAAATATACAGGGTGACAGGGATTTTATAAATTTTTTTTATGAGTAGTGCTATGTTGCCCTCCCATTCTTCCCTGGGACTTTCCATCCAAGCATTGAAGGATGGTTAACTGAAAAATAAATTACAATTTAATTCTTACACATTTTTTGTTAATTATTTTCAGGTTAGGGAACTTAACACCATTAGATATAGCTCTTAACGTGCAGAAGGCGTGGAGAAATTGCACTCCGGCGTGCCACGGGGTGCTGGGAGGGCTGTCGCTGATGCACCTGCTCCTCATCAGCTGCTCTGACAGTCTGGATGGTGGGCATCTGTCATTCCATGCTGTGATCACCATGCCGTATGTGGCTACATACTACTTCTTCTGTATTCTGTGTCTACTATCAGTTTTAGATAGGTAAGTTTTTTACAATGCTTTTTTTTAAATTACATTTTTGCTAGTAACTTTTGAAAATGTGGGATATATCTTAAATTAAGTTATAAAAACCTCTTAAAAGACTTAGGTGGTGGAAAATTGATATTTTTGTATTTTCACAAACAAAGGTAAATCTGAAAAAGTCTTTTTTTTAACTCACCACGGGCGAAGCCGCGGGGGTCAGCTAGTAAATAAATAAATACATTAATTTAAAATAATTAAAAAATGTTTGCAGACTGGATGTAGGCAGCATCGAGGTGTCCCGCGGTCTGCAGCCGTGGTTCCAGCCCATCGTGCTGGTCATCCTCTACACGGCCTGTCTGCTGGTCTGCTCCGCCGCCAGGATGTACGACGAGCTGATGGTCTACCAGTATGCGCCCGTCTTCCTCAACACCACGGGGAATGTAACAGTGGTTAGTTATTACGAGATATATGTTTTACGCGCGTATGTTTGTTTTAATATAAGTTTCTTATAGCGGCTTAGAGCTTTAACGGCTGAACCGATTTTGACGAATGAGGTTTCATACGACACGTCTTCTCTGGAGTGTCATAGAATATATTAAATCGCCGTTTAACATTAGCTTACGTGAAATCTTAAATTAAAAAAAATGGTTAAAGAAAAACGAGTTCAAATACTACTAGCCATAAGTTTTTTATATTATTTTATTCAGTGTAGTAGTTTATTCAGTGTGATATGTTTAAAACCTTGAGCGCACGAAATAGCGCCCTCTATTGCGTGCGTTTGAAAACGCAATCGCATTTGTGTTTTGCAATGCAAACAATAGATGGCGCTATTTCTACTACTAGTGCTTCAGCCGGGTGTTTTAATTTTTATATTAAATAAAAAATGTAGCCTATGTTACTCACAGATAAATTACCTTTCTAATGGTGAAAAAAGTTTTAAAATCTGCCCAGTAGTTTTTCGAGTTATTTTAATACTTACAAAAATTCAAATCTTTTCTCTTTATAATATTAGTATAGATTAATTAATAAAATGTCTTAATGTTACATTCAGCCATCAGTACCCGCCTTCTATGAAACATGGACGCAGCTGTCGGTGTGGCGCGCCGTGCTGGCGC